AAAATGACTCGAAATATAAAATTCTTTAAACATTCAAAAAGATGTGAGATTCTTCAAACATTTCAAAATGAGTACGAAAAGTCCTTAGTAAGTTTTTGGCAAATGTATAATTTCAAACTGTAATACTCTAATGTAACACTTAAACATAACATTCTAATGTAACACTCCAAAAAATTTCTTGGTGTACTTTTTTCAAACGTAACACAATATAATACTCTAAAAAAACTTTTTAGTGTAACACACAAAAAAACTCCTTAGTATATTTTTTCGAAACATAACACTTGAAAAAAAAAATTGTGGGATTCTTTAGATGATTCCTAATAGATGTGGAATTCTTTAAACCATTTCAAAAGGAGTACAAAATTTCTTAGTAAGTTTTGGGCAAATGTACGTTTGGAAAAAGTACACTAAGAATTTTTTGGTGGTTTTTGTGTATGCTACATTGGAGTATTACGTTTGGGATTACATTGATTGAAGTGTTTTGATTGTGATTACATTAATTGGAGTGTTATGTTTGGAAAAATTACACTAAGAAGTTTTTTTGAGTGTTACATTGGAGTTACGTTTGGCAAAAATACACTAAGAATTTTTTTTTGGAGTGTTACGTTATTAGAGTGTTACATTATTGTAGTCATGTTTTATTTGATGTATTCTAAAATATGAACGGTTCGGATTATCAAAATGGACCTCGAAATAGACCCATTTCGCCGCACAACAGTTGCTGATGCACGAGTTGCGCAACAACATTCCCAATTCCTACAACATTACATTTGGAAAAAGTACACTCATAAGTTTTTTTTTAGTATTACATTGGAGTATTACCTTATTCGAATATTACATTTGAATGTTACGCCCTTATTTGTAATGTGGGATTGTTCTAAAATCAAAGAAAATGCAAAACCTTTATAGTGTGAGTTGTCCAAATGTATAATTTTACATTTGGATAAACTCACTTTTATCCTTCAAAAATTAAACCCAAATATGTAAGTGACTACCTTTTGTATAATTTCAACTTTAATGAGACATTTGGGTTCATAAGAAAAAAAGACGGACTAACCAATTCACAAGATCACATTTTGAGATTTATTGATACTTCACCCAAAAATAAACTACTTTAACTAAAAATAAAAATAAAAACACTAAAAATGAAATAACCTAAAATAAGGCAACGTAAAAACTACAGTGAATATATCAATATTTCCTCTTCCATAATTACTGGTATTCTAATCTTTACTAGTAAAAAACTTTAGACTCTATTTGCCTACCTTCAGTTCACTTTTTTTTGTTGAATTTTCAGAATTTGGCAATAAAAACTTCTATAGTAATTTAACCTAGTTTTATCCATTTTATGTGTATCAGTAATGGTAAGGATTAAAAACTCTAGCACAAAAAAATACTAAGAAAAAAGATGTGTGAATTAAACTTGCTATTTGTTGGGTCAATCCCACAACGATCAGGGAGGGACTTCCACTTCCACCTTATAAGTGCACTGGCCCCCTCTACCTATCAATAGGCCTTTTCCCCGGAGGAGGAACAAAACCGTGATGCTCCAGCCAAAGCGGACAATATATTGACGGGGCGTGAAATGACAGGCGTTGCGAAATTTGGCTCTAGAAGAAGGATTGTCTGGCAAACTCTCTTGTTGTTGCGGCCCAGTCCGCTGGGGGGTTATGTTGGGTCAATCCCACATCAACCAGGGAGGGATTCTCACTTCCACCTTATAAGCGCACTAGCCCCTCCACTTGTCAATAGGCCTTTTCCCCCGAGGAGAAACAAAACCGTGAGGCTTTAGCCAAAGCGGACAATATATTGATGGGGCGCCCAGCGGACTAGGTCGCAACAGCGGGAGGACAGGCGTCACGAAATTTGGCTCTTTCGCGACGCTTGTCTTCTCATGCCCCATCAATATATTGTCCGCTTTGGCTGGAGCCTCACGGTTTTGTTCCTCCTCGGGGGAAAAGGCCTATTGACAGGTGGAAGGAGCCAATGCACTTATAAGGTGAAAATGGGAGTTCCTCCCTAGTCGATGTGGGATTGACCCAACATAACCCCCTAGTAGACTGGGTCACAACAACAGAAGAGTTTGCCGGATAGCCCTCCTTCTAGCGCCAAATTTCGCGATGCTTGTCTTCTCGCGCCACGTCAATATATTGTCCATTTTGGCTGGAGCCGCACGGTTTTGTTCCTTCTCGGGGAAAAAGGCCTATTGACAGGTGGAGGGGGCCAGTGCGCTTATAAGGTGGAAGTGAGAGTCCTTCCCTGGTCGATGTGGGATTGACCCAGCATAACCCTCCAGCGGACTCGGCCATAACAGCAAGAGAGTTTGCCGGACAGCTTTTCCTCTAGCGCCAAATTTCGCGATGCCTGTCCTCTCGCACCCCATCAATATATTGTCTGCTTTGGCTGGAGCCTCACGGTTTTATTCCTCATCGAGAGAAAAGACCTATTGACAAGTGGAGGGGGCCAGTGCGCTTATAAGGTGGAAATGGGAGTCCCTCCCTGGTCGATGTGGGATTGTCCCAACAAAACCTCCAGCGGACTAGGCTGCAACAGTGGGAGAGTTTACCGGACAACCCTCCTTGTAGCGCCAAATTCCGCGACGCCTATACTCTCACGCCCTGTCAATATATTGTTCGCTTTGGCCAGAGCCTCACGATTTTGTTCCTCCTTGGAGGAGAAGGCCTATTGACAGGTGGAAGAGGCTAGTGCACTTACAAGGTGGAAGTGGGAATTCCTCCCTGGTCGATGTGGGATTAACCCAACATAACCCCCAGCGGATTGGGTTGCAATAGTGGGAGAGTTTGCCAGACAACCTTCCTTCTAGCACTAAATTTCGCGACGCTTGTCCTCTCGCGCCTCGTCAATATATTGTCGTCTTTAGCCGAAGCCTCACAGTTTTGTTCCTCATCGAGGGGAAGGGCCTATTGACAAGTGGAGGGGCCAGTGCATTTATAAGGTGGAATTGAGAACCCCTCTCTAGTTGATGTGGGATTGACCCAATACTATTTATAGTAATGATTTATGCTCAACTTGTGATTTTAAGAAAAATTATGCCTTTTCTTCTTTCTTTTTTAGGATTTGAAGAAAAACCGTGTGTTTTAATTTGTAATTTTAAGATTATCACGTTAGGTATAACGTCAAGCGGGCATTTGACTCCCAACATAAAATTTTGACTACTAATCAACATTTTTAAGGGTGAGAAAGGTTATGGTATTCACCCTTTAAAGTTTGTATATCATATGTATTTTATAATTAAAAATAAAAATAATATAATTTTATACTTTTTAAGTTATAATTAAAAGAAAAAAAAATTACCATAACTAAATACAATATGCAGTATAACTAAAATAATGTCATAAATAAAGAAGAAAATGATATAATTAAGAGTGTATATGGTACATTCTTTTTAAGGCTGTGTATATTAAAATTTTCCTTTAAGGATAAGTTACATTGACTAACTTTGAAATTTTAAAAAAATATATAATAAATTATATATATTTTTATTATTTTCACCTTCTTTTTAGTAAAATTTAATGAATTCAAACTAATACAAATAGTGAAAAAATATAAAAATTAACAACATACAATATATATTTTCATATAAAAGAAAGGGAGATTTATTGAAAAATTCTTTTTCAAATGTTTATATTCCAATTAGTCCATACGATATTCTTATATTATAATAAGTCGTATTATTTAGACATTTGATCTACTAAATTCTAATTTTCATATTTGAGGTATTTTATAAACATTTCTACCTTTACAAATATTTTTGAACGGTTGGTAATTTGGTAATATGAACATTCATATTTTACAATGTGAATAGTCACATTGACGTGTGAATGTTCACATTGACAATGTTAACATTCACATTGATAGTGTGAACATTCATATCATGAAACATTCACATTGTAAATATGAATATTATTAGAGGTATTTTGGTAACTATGTCACCCATAAAACTTATTAGAACATAAGAAAATGATGTGAACTAAATGAAACATAAGTAGGTGAAAATAGATTTATGAAAAAGTGTCCCTAAAAGAAATGATAGTATTATTTTTTATGTACATAACTAACAAATTATTGATAAAAATTAAATCAAATGTTGTATAAATTAACAGTTTAACAAAACTTAATAAAATTATGTTAAAATTATAATTTTTTTTTTATTTATTTTTTAAATTTCAAAAAGAACTTAGTGTAATTTATTCATATTTTAAGGAGCGATGAATTTCACAAATAATTTGATAAGTGCCGTATTTTAATAAATAATTATATTTAAAATATAAATTTTCACTAAAAAGACTCAAATTATTAAGGGTAATTCCTATTTAGAGCATTCACTCTAAGAATCTAGCTAGCTAAGAGCATCATTATTAGCCTCTTTAAATTTTTAGTCAAATTAAAATTGAAAAATCTATTTTGTTATTTTAGCTAGTCACTCATTACATCAAACTCTCTATTATAAATCTTATTAAAATATTATTTTGTTACTGTATTTTTCATTCTTTCTTTTTTTATTAAATTGATGAGGTGACACCTAAACAATTCTTAAAAAATACAAAAATGAAAAAAAAAAATTTGCCGTTGATCGGTCGACCGGCTGGCTGGTCAACCGGTTAGAGTAATTTTCGACATTTTTTCTTTTTTTGCTACAAGCATTCACGGAACATTCGGGTGGACGATCGATTTAAAGATTTTGACCCAATTTTACTCCAAAAAATATAATAAAAAATCATGTAACGAATAAACAGTGCCTTTGTTGAGGTATTGCAACAAATTTAACAAAATATTAATTTAGAAAAAAATTGTTAAGACTGATGGAGGAAGCATTTGACGATTTATTAGTTATATTTTAATTTTTTATTATTTTGATGAAACTGACGAGCATGCTCTAAAAAGACCCAAATTATTAAGGGTAACTACTATTTAGAGCATTCACTCCAAGAATCTAGCTAGCTAACCCCGACAACATTATCTACCATTTTCCACTTCAACAAATTTCAAGAAAGGCCCAAAATCAAACCAAACAGCCCTTAAACCAACGCAAATTGAGACAGAGAGAGAGAGAGAGAGAGAGAGAGAGAGAGAGAGAGATGGCAGGGTATAGAGCTGAAGATGAATATGATTACTTGTTCAAGTTGGTTTTGATTGGTGATTCAGGTGTGGGTAAATCGAACCTTCTCTCGAGGTTTACGAGGAACGAATTTAATCTGGAATCCAAGTCCACTATTGGGGTTGAGTTCGCTACCAAAAGCCTCAACATTGATGGCAAGGTCATCAAAGCTCAAATTTGGGACACTGCTGGTCAAGAAAGGTCTCTCTCTCTCTGAAATTTTGCATTTTCTGATATGGGTATGTTTCTATTTGTATGTGTATGTATCTACATGTGTATGCTTGTTGATGTATGTCCATCATCCATGTCTCCAAGTATACTGCAACTATGTATTTGTTTGTAAAGTTAGCTCTGAATTCTTGTGTTTTCACTTGAATTTTTAATGGGTTTTGTTGGGCCAGGAAAATTAAATGATTATCTGTGATGTTCAACAATTTTTTATGTGGGTTTTGATGTTTAATGACATTCTTAATGGTCTTTGAAGCCACAAATGGTGATTATTTACAATAACGATTTTGGCATATCCCACCCAATATGATATTCTGTGGGTTTTGTGTGGTGATTTTGAAGGAATCAACTTGTTATTTGACTAAATACAAAATACAATGAAGCTTGGTTCCATTCAGCATCTTTATAATGACTGTGTACCTCAGTTCATAGTGAAATGATGTAAAATAGGGAAGCAACTTCTTTACTTCCTTTTGTAAGTACATATTTCTAACATATAACAAACTTTTAAGCTGATTAGCATGGAGGCATAACCCATGGAGCTTCTAATTACACCACAAAAAAACTCTTTACAACCATTTTCTAATTAATCTTCTCTTCAAAATTTAAAAGTTTCATTTTTTCTCTTTACACTCCCCATAATTACTCTCATCCCTAATCTCCCAACATCTCATTACACCTTTATTCTTTCAAACCCTAACTCTATCCCACCTCAACCGCCACCTTTGACCTCCATAGTTGCCACCTCCAACCACCAACCCCCTCCCCCCAACTACAAACACCTTCACCCTCCCCTACCAGCAACCCTCCCATCACTGCAAGCAGCCCCTCCATCACTATCCATCTCCCCAGCCCCCATCCATCGGGACGTAGCCCCCCATCCCCTGCACAGTGACCTAACCACCTTCACCATGTTACCACTCCTCCTAGCCTTAATCCATCTTTGTGTGTGTGTGTGTGTGTGTGTGTGTGAGAGAGAGAGAGAGAGAGAGAGAGGGAGAGATTTCAAATTTGGAAAAGGAGGAGGAGAAGGGTAGTGATGGGGAGGGGTTGGGGGGTGGCTTCAGTAGGTGAAGGTGGTGATGATGAAGGAGTGGGTGTAAGAAAAATTAGTGTTTTTAGGGTTTTGGTACCTTTTGGTAATTTTAGATGGTAATAAACTGTAATGAAAAGTTTTGAAAATGGGTGTAAGAAAAATTAGTGTTTTTAGGGTTTTGGTACCTTTTGGTAATTTTAGATGGTAATAAACTGTAATGAAAAGTTTTGAAAAATAAGGGGTGTGAGCAAATTTTTGTTGTCGTATAACTAGAAGCTTCGATTTACCTAGGCTAGGATATGATCTATATTCAACACATAATGCATAGTGATGCTTTTCGTTTCATATACTTATTATAAGATGTGTTTGTATATTTCACCTATATTCAATACATCATTCATTGTCTATGATAATTAGAAATGCTACTAGCAAAATGAATATGAATTTATTTAACTTAACCGAGTATATAACCATTGATAGAGGTTAATGATGGAAAAAGATTCATATAGTTGACCCCACCTAATTAAGAAGCAACACAAGCCTTATTTGGTTTGGTTTTTGGATATTGTGCTATACATCCTGACATTGGGTTTCAGGGTATCCTATTTTCCTTTCACTTATTTGTTATTTGACCTTATTGTCCTTTTATGTGGAGGGACATCTAGTGTGAAATATTTATTATCTAACCATATGGTTTTCTTTCATTAATAGACTTTACAATGTTTCCAAGCATTTCCATGCGATTCTAAATTCTTTTCCCTGCTCTATCGTGTTGAAAAGATTTCCATTTTCTTGGCAACTAAACTAGCACTTTTAAACTACATTTTGCTCGTTGCAGCCTTAAATTTATTTTGTAGGTTCTATCTTGGTTATTGTGTTTGTAGGCTTAAATTTGTAGTTGATTCAGACTTCTTCATTTTTACCTCATGGTCAAAATTATTTGCCTACTATATTACTTTGTGAATTTGACAACTATTTGTTCTTGAGAAGAGCTGTAGGCCAACACTTTAGGTACATGAGCCTTTTCTATAATATTGTTTTTAATCAAGGAGTATGTCTTGGTTCATGTATAATACATTTTTAGCTGTTAATGCACAAATGCTGCAACTTTGTTGCTTACTTGCACCATTCTTTTGTGAATTCATTTTTAGTTGCATTCATGGCAGCGCAGCTGCACTATGTTAGGGTCACAGTTTTTCTCGTATCAAGAAATTGCCCTTAAAATAAATATCTTTATTTATTAAATAAATAAAATTTGAAATCCACATTTTAGTGTTCTTTCCTATTTTACTCTACACTCTTGGCCTTCAGTCTTTTCTCAATTTATTTTTCTCAGTTTTGAGGCTCAATTCATCATTTCTCTGAGGCGGGCTTCCTTTGACATAGGCAAGCATATGCATATCTGGTTTTTTGTGAACTACAATTATCAAACTATACAAAGATAATCTTCCTCAGCTGGAACACTCGTTAAAAGAAGAAATTCCCCCTGAGGTTTATCTGGTTTTATGTCAAACCAAATTTATCTGAAAATCTGATCTGACAATATTTATTAAATCTGTGCTGATAGTGTGAAAGTGTGAATTTTGAATATTTTCTGGACTTAAAAACAAGTTGAAAGAGAAATATAATGTACGAAAAATTGACAACATTTATGGAAGAGCAATAAAAATAGCATCAATGCATGGGGTTGGTGGTTATAATTGCTATCTTGGTTGGCAAGTTCCTTCATGACTGATAGATAGTGTTTTAATTACTTTGAAGATCCAAATACAATACTTGATATGCCTGTTGATCATTTTCTTAGCTCAATTTTTCAACTTGGATTGACCTTGGTTTGATAAGCTACTAAGCAACTCCAATTTTACATGAAAAAAGAATAAGTTTAGTAGAAACTTGCTTGAGTTGCTTGTGAGATTAGTGACTTATGCTTGGTAGTTTTAGAGCTTGTTAATCTTGGATCATTAATTGTCCCAAAAGCTTGAGTTGTTAGGTTGTGCCCCCAATAACATATATTAAGCTATCTAACTCCCTCCTCCACATGCAACCCTGTCTTGCACGTGGAGATGCAAATATCCTTGCATGGAGAGAAGAAAACATGTCAACGAGAGACAAAGAACACAAACGGTGACCAAATGCAAACAAAGATATTTGAACCAAAGACCTCTTCCAACTTGAGTTCTTATACCATGTTAAATCGCCAATAGTCCCAAAAGCTTAAGCTGTTGGGAAGGGGGGCCAACAATGTATATCCAACAGTTAATATATCGAGCAATCCACTGGTCAGCTCATTTATGGTTGTAGCTAGGTTTTTTTCTATGAACAAAGTTTTGTTAGGTTGCAAAGAACTAGTCTTGGCTGTGGGCTGAAGTTTGGGAATGGAGTTGTTGTGTTGTGCCAAATTGATCAGAAGGATCTAGGGCTTGGCTTGGGGCAAAGAGAGGAAAGTTTACCAAGTTTATGGACTTTCCGGTTTAGGAAGATTTGTATCTACTTAGGATTTTATGATTGGACTTTTAAGGACTAACTTGGTCAGATTTTAAGCTTCTTTTGCCTGCTTTTATGGGCTATGTAGGACCTGTTCGGGGAATTATGTAATCCTTGCTGTGGCAAAAGAAATGATTGGGTAATTAAGATGGGATATGGTGCTTTTTTGGTTCTCAACGGAGATTTCGATGTAGGACTGGTGTACTTGCTCTAATACTAGACTGGTGAACACTAGGTGCTTAGAATAATGTTGCTGTAATTGACTTTCTATTGGTCTGAAGTTGCGGAGGATTTGGAAGTTCATGGTTTGAAAATATGGAATAAAACGTACGGGGCATTTTATCTGGAAATTTGTTCGAAGTTAAGAAGCACAGACATTTCTAAGAAGGTGACGTATTCATGTCGTGTCTGTATACTATCAGACTATGATGTACGGACACGAACATGGGACACGACACGGACACGTGGACACGCAAATTTTCGAAGAATAGGGGACACGATACGCTGGGGACACGTTTAATATATATAATTTTTATTTATTTATTATGTCTAAAATAAAAAGAAAACCATTGATTCTTATATAATTACAATAATAAGAAAATCAATAAACACATTTCTTAAATTTTTTTAATAAAAAATGAGGCTTTTTAAATAAAAATAATTTATTCTATAAATTTTAGGTGTAACAAAAATAAGGATTAAAAAAAAGAAAAAAGAAAAAAGAAAAAAAGAGGAGAGAAATCAAGAAAATAAAGGAGGAGAGAGAAACAGAAAAAAAAGAATCTGAAAAAAAAGAGAACATAAAAAAATATAAAAAGAGAAACGAAAGAGGGGAGAGAGTGAAATCAGCAAAGGGAGAAAGAATCAGAGAAGAGGAAGAGGCGAAACAGAAAAGGGAGGAGGAGAAGAAGAGGAAGAGAAGCAGAAAAACAGAGAAGAAGAGAAGACGAAGAGAAGCGGAAGAAGAAAAAGAAGAGAGAAGACGAAGAAGAATACCTCAGGCTTCTTCGATTGATCTGAACTGGTTAGGGTTTTTTCCTCACTTGATCTCTCTCTCTCTCTCTCTCTCTCCAACAGTTATAAGATCTTCGATCCACTTGTGCGTGTTCGGAAAGTGTCACGGCGTGTCCGATTGGAAAAATTCAAAAAAAAAAAAGGGGGACACGTTAGAGGGAGCGTCGGACACGTGTCCATAGCATGTTTGTATCCGACACGTGTCCAACACTCGTCCAACACTCGTACGCAGGTCCTAGGAACGTGTCGGTGCTTCATAGATGCCAGACACTGACACTCTTTGGACACTTTCCTGACACGTGTCTGACACTTTTCAAAACGTGTCCAAAATTTGAAATTTTTTTAAGGACCTGGACACTCTTTGGACACTTGGAGGACACACTTATGTATCAATTAGACACAGGTGAAACTAATTATAAGTTTGAACAAAGTAATTAAAGATGCAATAATAAAACAAAAACCATATAAATTTATAGGAATTAGTGTCATATTGCATTTTTTTAATTATTTTTGAATGATGTATTCATATATATAACATATAATAAATATATAAAATTATATATTTCATGCATGTCCCCAACGTATCGTGTCCTGCATTTTTTAAAAATTGGCATGTCAACGTGTCCGTGTCGTGTTGCGTGTCCATGCTTGTGTCTTGTATTTTTTTAAAATTGGCGTATCAGCGTATCCGCGTGTCCCTGTTGTATCTATGTCGTGTCGTGTGTCTATGCTTCTTAGGTTCGAAGTCACTTTATTTTAAAATTAATTAGTTAGCAGGACTGCATATATATGTTAATGAAATTTTTGCCAGAAAACTAATTTTGGGGCTTTTGGCGTAGGTAAAAGCTGATATAACAGGGAATGGTTTGCAATATGAAAAGACATAGTGACTTGCATTTATGCCACTAAATTAAACTAGGTTATGACTCTAAAACTAGAAATTATTGAACTTTGACCAACAAGAATATTTTTAGATGTGCTAAACTCACATATAAAGACCCAATAACTTCAGTCAAAACATGACCCATTGTCCATGTTGCAATACTCGTTACTCTTAGAATATATGAAATTACAAATTAATGATGCAATATCATCCTGCTGACACACTTTATTTGCTTTTATGTTTTAGTAATTTATGTTATAGAATGTTACTCCAAGGAAGTAATGTTTGTTTTATCCAATATTGAGAGCAGTGTTGCTGCTCTGTATGAGTGGTGAAGAGCTCATATGCATGATTTCATGATTCTTACTTTTCATCCTGTCATGATTCTTTATGATTGGACTTCCTCATGTGCCCAAAGCGGCACTTGTCTGGCTATTTTAGCACCTATTTATATATTTGAATGAATTTGGTGGATTTTGCTCCTAGTTATTGATTTTAGAGAGAGAGAAGCTCTATCTTTGTACAAGATTTTTGGAAGTTATTGTTCTTTTCTTTTGGATTTATCAATTCAGTGGCAAGCTTGTTTTGGCTCGAATTTGGTGCATTAGTTTTTTTGTTTTTCAACAATTTCTTTACTATATGCTTTTGGGTGCGCAATTTTTCTTTTTCTCTGCACTTCATTTGCTATGTCATTATTGCTTTTAGGCTTGTTGGTTGAATACCTTTGAAAATTGTCATAGTTTTTGTTGATTTCATTTGTTTTGTGTTGCTAATCTTAATAGCATTTGTCTTAACCTAGAGTAACACATGGCAAGGGAGCTAGCAATGAAAGTCTTGATTTTTTTTCTTCCTGTTTTTGGTTTAAGTTCTCTGCATTATATTCATAATTAGAATTTGCATGAGAGGAGGTGAAAATGAAATTCTTGATTTGTGTTTCTTGTATTTTGTGTAAAAGTTCTCTTCTCTGCATTAGATTCCTAATTAGAATTTGCACGAGATAAGGTAAATTTGAAACATGGGTTTTGTTTAGTTTTTTTGGTACATAATATTTTATTTCAAAACCAGAATATGCTATATTTACAAAACAGAGAAGGGGGTGTACCCCTGATACGAGGTCATTGCTAGTCTAACAAACACTTGCGTATACAAATTCTACATGCATGAGAACTGAGGTATTCAAATTCTTTTATATATTCAAATTCTTTGATTTCTCCGAAAAGCAAGGGTGATTTGTGATTTTGTTTTGGTGATTTTGAATGCACTGGAAGAAGAACGAGACAAAAATTATCACTTGCATATGAGACAAAATTAATTGGTTTCCAGTTGTGCTAAATTGAAATTGGATCCTTGCAAATTCAATTGTCTTTTTGTTTTTTTTTTTCCCTTCATTTTTCTTTGTTGTAATAGGTATCGTGCCATCACTAGTGCTTACTATAGAGGAGCTGTTGGTGCTCTGCTTGTTTATGATGTCACTCGACATGCTACATTCGCAAATGTTGAGAGGTGGTTGAGGGAATTGAGGGATCACACAGACCCCAACATCGTGGTAATGCTCATCGGCAACAAATCAGATCTCCGACACCTTGTGGCTGTCTCGACTGATGATGGTAAAGCATTTGCTGAGAGGGAGTCCCTATATTTCATGGAGACTTCCGCACTGGAAGCAACCAATGTGGAAAATGCATTTACAGAAGCGCTTAGTCAGATATACCGCATTGTGAGTAAGAGAGCAGTTGAAGCCGGTGATGGTGGTGAGGCTTCGTCTGTTCCGGCTAAAGGACAGACACTTAATGTCAAAGATGACGTGCCTGCTTGGAAGAGAATTGGATGCTGTTCGAGCTAGGGTTTGCTAACCACAAGAATACAAGGTGTATTTTCGCTAAATTTGTACTTAGATAAGAGCATGCATTAAACATCATGTAGAATATGAAAACAAAGTGCTTGGATATGTGACAAATATTGTCAAAAAGGATTGATGTTATTCTCATTTTTGTTTTTTGGGTTTTTATTATTTACTTGTATATTTACATTTGCATTGATTTTCCCAAAACTTCACGCTTGCTCTCACATTATTTATTTAATTTTGTTGTTGTTGGGGTCTATAACTTGTGTCATATGTAAGATTTTCACTGTGCCATGTCTTTTGGGGTTGTTGCCTTGGAATGAGTCGACATATTAGTTTAAAAAATTAGAACTTAGTGCCCTGCAATATGAGATCGACACTTTTATGAAATACACTTAGAAAAAGTGTTCTATGTGTTCCAAAATATCTCTTAGAAAAAGTGTTCTATGTGTTCCAAAATATCTCGAACACAAAGTTAAAGCAAATAGAGATCGAATGACATTATCTTATCATCCTAGGAATTTGAAGCATATAGGATAAAGCTATGTCATCAACCTATGAAATGTAAAACTTAAAAGATCACTTAAGAAATGGAAATATAAGAAACTAACATGTTTTCCTATATCAAATATATATATGTAAATATATTTTTCAAAAATGAATTTTAGGTAATCTAACAAATCCAAACTCTAAATTTAGATAGTGATTCCAAATTTTGACTAAACCTGGAGGCCTGAGTTCTAGTTGAATCCTAAGTCAACTAAGATTCGATTTACAAGAATTGTTTATCTAGCATTTTAAAGGTCCAAATTTGAGAGCCACATTCATTCTAAATCTGTTAACCCACTCAATTACACCCATTTGAAAACTGTTCAAATCTATAAACGAGTCTAAATAGATTAGACATAAGTACTCGTTTAAACTACCAACTCCTCCACCACCACCACCTGCCCCTTCAAAAGATTTCCTGCATCAAAATTGATTTAAAAACCCCTCCATCATTAGAAAAATAGTTCAATAAAATAAATGTGTTTGTTAAGTTTATTTGTTCAACCCGGACTCAATTTTATTAAATGGACTGGTTTGGATTGAATTATTTTATTACACAACTCATTAACTGACACCAAAGCTCCATGAACTCAACCAAATGCAACTATTTGCATATACATCATTTAGATGACATACAAAAATTTACGTTTTAGACGGTTGGTTTAAACACAACCATCAATAATAAAGGCGGGAGAAGGAGCATCATTACTTTTATTTATTTATTTTTATTTTTTTATTATCAGCAAACAAGGAAGAGAATTTTATTAATCATCAAAAACAAAAGCATACAAAGAACAAAGACTACAGCAGAAAAATACATCATTGTCAAAACACAAAGAACAGAGTTGAAGGGATTCCAACTCCAACTCCAAACACACGCACACACAAAACTGCACTACTACCAATTTAGGCCAATAACACCAGCAGCTGATCACATCATGAGACAAACACCGAACATCACCTTCCACCTTTGACACAAAATGTAACCTGCTCCAAATTCGAGATAAAATCATTCACTGAGAAGAACACATCGGATGAATGAAGCTTTACCCATAATGCTACTCTTACTTTGACAAGTTCACACAGTTCACCCAGATTTGGTTGATGGCTACTAAAGATGCAATCATTTCTTTGCTTCCAAACAGACCAAAGTACCGCTATAGGAGCAAAACAATTTTCCAAATCTACAATTCGAACTTTCTAAACTTAAACCTTAGCCACCATTGTAGTAAGCCTTCCACTGACCCTGGTATTACGCATTGAAACCCCCCGCCAACTCATCATTTAAGGCCCAACTTTCCAAACAAAAGGGCAAAATAGCAGAATATGATCCAGAGTTTCAGCATCAGAATTACTAAACACACAGGCAGCGTTAGCATTCAAAATCAGCATGCCAATTCTTTGCAAAAACTCTGAAGTCTTAATTCTTCCTTTCCATGCTAATCAAGCAAAAAAATTGAGCTTTATGAGGAGTGACATTATGCAACAACATCCCAGGACAAGAGACATTCAGCCCAAGGGCAGACTCAGACCGTAAAGACTGAATGCACCATAAACTGACCTGAGGATGAGGCAACCCATCTAATGTGATCAACAAAACCAACTCTAAGGATTGGAAAAAGCAATAGAAATATAACCACTCCAAATCCTTGAAAAAGCAGAAGGTCCATAAGGTGGGAACCATCTACCTCCCTCAACTCTGTAAATGCTGCAAATCAAATGTTTACATAAAGCATTGTCTTCATATCCAAATCTCCACCACCACTTCACCAGCAAACAATCATTTACATTGACACGTGATATCACATCACCACTTAATAGTGTAATTGTTTTTATCTTTCCAACTCATCCCATTAACCTTCCACATTTATATTGTGGAATTTATCATGCTTACAATGGAGATTATGATTGAATGATAATACAAGGTGTATAGGTCTGTCAACAAATTGGATTTTATCCAAATTCGTTAAAGAAAAATCTGGTTCGATAATATGATAATTTGAATCCGTTTAATCCAATTATTAAACGGATCGGATATTAAAAAGTCCAATTCAATTATCAATTTTTATAATATTTTTTTTTAAATGAAATAAGAGTTAAAATTTTGTTTCTTTTCCATTCTCATTTTTTTTATCTTCATAAATTCATCTACAAATTCAATATCCAGACTCTTCCTAAGGCCTATTTGATTAGAAAGAAAATTGATATTGGAAAGTGAAAATTGTATAGGAAGTGAAATAAAAAAAGAAAAGAAAAAGAAAAAGGGAAATATATAATTTGTTTGAAAAGTTGAAGATCAACTTTTTTTGGAATTATTAGAATATAAGCTGTCCAAATTTTTAGCTATCTGTGTTTTTTTTTTCCCCTTTATTTTCCAAATTAGAATTCATGTATATATATTTTTATGAAATATTTATGATTTTTTTTAGTTTAATTTATATTGTTATAATATTGGGGATGAATCTTTCTCAAATTCTATTCCATTATGGTTTCAAACATAATTTTTAGAATCCTCAATTTGCATGAAGGAAACATAGTTTGAAAAATAAATAAATAAATAACTAAATGGATCAGATTCAGGTTGTGAAAAATCCAATATGTTTATAGATCTACACATGTAGATGTTGTTGTGGTATTACCGTTGAAATAAATTTTTTCTCCTTTCCTTACACACCACCGTCAAATATCCAAAATTATCTTATATCTGTTTAATAATTTTTTTCTCCTTTCCTAACAAACCACACCACCGTCAGTGCAATTAGTTTGTTTGGTTCTTCTTCTTCTTCTTCTTCTTCTTAGAGAACAACGGTCTTGATTAATTATTTTTTGGGTTGGTTTGAAAGTGGCATTTTTAGTAGTTTTTTAATTTTTTGACTAAAGTATGATTTTAAAAAATAGAATGAAGGAGAAGGATTTTTAATTTTTTTTTATAAATAAGTTAAATACTTTTTTGGCTAAAATAACTTCAATAAGGTCTTTGTCTTTTAAAACTTTCATGTTGATATACATCTGACCAATGACAAGAATAATAATTATAAGGATAATTAAAATTAGATATGCACACGACTACATAATCTCTTTACCTATGTGATCATTTCTATTTCATCGGACACAAGAAGATAAATAGTTTTGGATACAAAGATAATTACCTATGAATGGTAGGGCAAAAATAATTGATTCTAAATTTCAAGAGAAGTCAATCTAATTACCTTATAATTTACCAAGTAATAATATAGCTATATGGTCCACTGTCATTGTTGTTTCTTTGCTATTTCCGTTGATTATTTTTTTTAATCAACGTAAAGAACATATATATTTAAAATTCTCATATGCTAGAGGCTACTTATTGAGTCATCGTCACTGTTACTATTTTACTATTTCCATTGTCATTGTCATTACTACTTTGATATTCCTTATCTATTGCAATACACATTTTTATTTTTCTATTAAACTAGATAAGGATTGAAAAATTGTCACTATGTGCCTGTTTGGCAGAAATTATTTATAGCTTATTTCTGCTTTCAGCTTAATTTAAGCTATTTTGATGTGTTTGGTTTAGCTTATAGCTTATAGCTTATAACTTTGTGGAAGTTAGAAATCAGCTTATTCTTTGAGTGGGGCAGGAGATGCTTTAAGAATAAGCTGGAAATCAGCTTAAGTTGAAAGTTACAAGCTATAAGCTGTTTATGCATAAGCTATAAGCACTTTCCCACAGCTCTACAAAACACGTCTTTTTCAACAAAGGAAAACATAAACCAAAAAAGTCAAAAATCTTCACTAAATATCAATAAATAATTAGTAAAACACCACCCCATGGTTAGGGGTGGTCATTGCTTGGTGATCTAAGCGTTCTAGCTTTATACTATTAAGACTTGATGTAAATATTTTAGTCCATAAGACCGAATTAGCTTGAAATTATGAACTTATTTATTTTTGAAATAGGATTGGAATAGAATTCTAACCTATCCTAGTCCAGCCATTTGTAAATTTATTCTACTTTCTATATTATTTGGTTACATGTAAATTATAAAACATTAAAAAAAATAACAATAATATACATATTCTTTTTTTAGAATTTAATTCAAACATTTGCTATAAAGTCCAAATTCAAATATTTGTTAATTGGGCCAAATTCATTTAATAGTCCTGACCAAATTTTTTTTAATAATCCATATATCAAGCTAAGTAAGTGGATTAAAATTAATTATTATTATTATTTTTTTTACTCTCAGTTTTATCAACAAAAAATGATGGGTTAGAGTCTTCAAACCGTTGTTGGAGTCTTCTAACGGTCAATTCAGTTAGTACTAAAACAAAACAAAACTAGTCATATTATTCTAGATTTTATTCATGTCTAAATTTTTAGATGCCAAACCAAACTAACCTGTTGTAGTTCACCTTGGTTCAGGTTAGAATAGTGGTTCAGTCATATTTACACAAGTAATTTATTCCTTTATTTATAAAATATAATATCAACTTCAATCTTATATCATCAAAAATTTATAATATATTATATATAATTAGTAGTTGGCAGACACATCAGATTAAAAAAAAAATGACAATCAAGTGATAAAAGGTCTTCTTTACCCAATCGAAGGTTTTGATTTCAAAGAATGCTAAATTTGGTCTTCATGAATAATATAGGTAGATACATAATAAGCAAGTCTCGAATATTACACTAGAACAAAA